TGTTATTTTTTTTTTTCTATTTAAATTGAAGAGATTTGATTTAAAACTAAGTTAAGCTTGTGCCGCCTAAATAAACGAATAAGAAAGTCTAGAATACTCAATGATATTGTACATATTTATTGATGATGAAAAATTAAAATCGCTCCAGTAGATTTTAAGTTTATCCATTAAAAATCAAACAAATCTTTCTTTTTAATATTAGCGAAGTTTTTTTATATCCGTGGAAGGGAGGGCAAAACACGTGTAGAGTAACCAGATTTGTTGTCGATTGAATGTACATGTTAATATGTGTGCTATCGGTATACAGCAGCCCTGTTATTCTTTAAAAATCCAAACCCGAATTCAAATTCACTCAGGTATCCGAATTCACTTCAAAAAGCGGTATCAGCGGTAAACTTTGAATTGGTAAATAGCGTTTCGTGGCATAAGTGAAGTGAGTTTCGAAATGACATGTTAACAGAATATCTGAGACACGTATATTCAATCAATTTGGTTTTGTATTTTTATACAACAAGATGGAATCAATAGAATTTTTATACTCAATGACGTGAATTCAGACTTATTTAAATCGGGTCTGGATTTTTACAAAATTGCATGGCAGGTCTTGCGGAAACTGACTGGGTGGGAAAGTTGCTAGATATTAATTTCATGGTTACAGCAATGGACTTCCGCGAATAACGCCTGATTCTACTAAGTAATTAGTGAAATTATAATTATTTTTCATTGAATATGCTTCTTCCCTTTATTACGGACTGTGTAAAATCTTGCAAGGGTGTAGCAAATTCAGATAGCTAGAATCTCTAAGGCTGAAATACAAAAATCAGGAGCGGCCTTGAGGTTAAACAGTATTGTCTCGAATTCTGATTACCGCTATCTGGCAGCGCGCTGACTACGTCGTAGATTGCATCTCTCGCACACTGCGTAAAGTCGAAGCCGACATCAAAAGCCATTGAAAGTGCTTTTAATTGACCAACTTTTTACCTACCACCCGTTCCGACGGATGGAAGTACGTCTTATTGTTGATAAAAAAAACGAGCAAAAGCATGGGAGCGAAAGATTCATATATACTGATAGCGTGACAAGTTTGTTTGCGTGTTCAGTGAGAACATCTCTAGTTCGGACATAAATATTTTTTTTTCGTCATAAATCTTAGACCTGGGATTCCTACAGTGGTCTCTCCTGGATGAATTGGTATCCTAGGGGTAAAAATAAGCGAACACTGATTTTGGGGGTCACTGAAGTCGGAAAATTAATCCCTATTAGCTAACACAATAACTTATTGGAAAAATTCAAAACACTGTATTACCTATATGTTACAGTTAAATACATTTTATAGTTAGAACACGTTTTATCCAGTTTGAACTAGTTTTTACAAAATGCTATTGTTAAAACTAGCACTAGAAAAATTAATTTGGGATTAATAACAAGATGTTCTGTTCGGGTTCTGTTAGGTTAGAACTGTGAACGAAACAAAAATCTATACATTGACAACGCCTCAGACGAGACTGTGAAATTCTTTTAATTAATTTTAATCCTTAATCTCTTCTAATTAAACTTCTCACAGACTTTTAATGCAAGTGAAATAAGACGAAAAAAGGCCATTGGCGAATATCGTCACTTTGTGAAAGCATAAATTTTTATAGATTGCTATATTTAGTATGGACTCGTAACATGACCTTAATAACTGTTTCATAACATCTTTTATTATTATACTCAAAAGGTACTTGAATAAATTCAAATTTGTGACGTGTGACATCTCGCGACCAATCAGAATAACGTACCATTATTAACTTCGGTCGGAACAATTTTCACTAAATTGATTCGGAAAACGCATCTTGTCTAGGAAGAATTAGTTTATACAGATACACAATTTGACTATTCGTTAATTCTAGTTTTAACAAAGGCAATTATTAATTAGGGAAAACGCGTTCTATCTAAAAACTGGTTGTAACTGTAACTTACATATATGAATTGACATTTTGACATCATTGTTGTTTGAGCCGTGTCTTTCTATCCGCGACCCTTAGCCAGATGGCCAGGTGTTCTAAGAGGGAGTGAGCAGGAGACTACTAGCAAGTTCCCGGGTAGCAATCTCAACTGAGTTCATAACTGATGGTTTTTCAGTAGGTATATCTCTGTTATTTAATTTTTTTAAGGGCAATTAAGTATGAAAATCTTAATGTACATATTTTTATCATTTTTTATCACTATACACGCATATTTTCTTATTATAGATAAGTATAATTAATGTTATTTATTATAAAAATAAATAAGCTATTAGTTATAAAACTAACATAGAGAAATACAGTCCCCCATTATCTCTTTAATTGATTAGAGGTAACTCTAATTGCACAGGAAAAATAGTGGGATGCTTCTAACAACTAAAATTGTTCGGGAATTTGTAATGTGCTCTCGATATATGTGTCCGACTCGAACTTGCTTTTTATTGTACTTTTAGTTTGCACGAAAAACAGATATTAATTTATATTTAAAGTTCATTCTATTGGTTATTCTTGGAAACACTATAAATTCATGTATTAAATTTTAAGACGCTTTAAATATTCATTTTCGTTGGATTTTATTTAAAAGTTACCCTTTTTTAACTAAAATCAATATTTTCTGTTTACACTTAAGCAAACAAAGAATTCTAACTAACACAAACAATTTACTATTGTATTCGATACGGTAAATCATATCCCATCAAAAACATAACATGTGCAAAAATGCACAAGTCTCGAAACGAAACTGTCCTGCCGTATAAAGTTATAAGATAACGTCAACCAAGTCCATTAAATCAGTACCTATCTTTCTGTAGGAGCAGTTATCCAACCTTGAAATAAGGACAACGATGATGCACCAACTTTAAAATATAGCAATTAATACTTAGCCGTAGGCGTCTATAACATCAAGCATGATTGTGTTACATTTACAATTTTAATCTTGAATTATGTAATCATAAGTACACAATCCAAGGAATGGAAATAGATCGGATCTTATTAGCGTTCACTGTACTTATAGACACATCATATCCGGTAAACACGCCGATGAACACGTATTGAAAACAAATCGTATATATAATATTTCTCTGATAAATTCATATTCAGCTGCCAACGGAAATTAGAGATCTTATTCCAATTTATATGTATGATTCATAACGTTTGAACACCGTTAAAGTAAATTCTGCATACAGAAGAAGAGAATTATAAAAAAGAGAAATAATTTCAAGCCTAAAGTGGCAGAAGGCCATTGGGGTAGTAAATTCCTAGAGTGACGAACAAACAAAGGAAAATGGCATAAGCCTTTGACACGATGGACCACAGAGCTCGGTCTCGATTATGCTAATGTTGATATTTGTTTGAAAACTTAAGTTATTTACAGTCACAAGTTTTTATGTTTTGGAAATAGATATTTTTGTGAGAAAGCATGGTAATAATATATTTCAAAAAGCTAAAAGTTTTAATAAATATCCTTTTAACAGACCAAATTATGAATTACCAAATGTGCAAGTGACATTTATCACAGAAAAAAGTTCTTTTATGGTAGTACAAATAAGTAATAGCATTCCAAAGAACATAAATTCCATTTAATTACTTTAAAAAACAACTTACTAAATTGCTTTATGATATACATCATAGAGCCATTTTCGTACTTTTTATTCTATTAAGACGAATAAATAAAATTAATGTAATTACTTCACATTTTTACATGTATATACAATAATTATAATAGCATAGATTAATTTTGACATTTTTATATTGTGCATGCTGAATATTTAGCGAAACATGCTGACCAGTGCACTCTATACAATATCTAAAATTAATTATTATTATCATGTAATAGCGTTTCAATAGTTGAATTTTTCCACTGTATTATTTAGCAAACGCCAAATATAAGTGCAAAAGCGTCTTGGTGAATCAAGGATGATATGTGTAATGTAGTGTAGCAACAAGAACTGTGTACAAAAAGCAGTTTTTAATAACCCTATTGTTAATAACGTTAATATAAGCAAAACTGAGCCTCTAGTTGAGTGAGATCACCGGGAAGTATTGCACGAGGACCACGCAGGGCCGATCGCTGTGGAGATTTTTAGAAGAACCTATTATCGAGCAGTGGACATTGTCCAGCTGATATGATGACCAATTAAAAATTGACCTCTTTAAAATCGATTATTATTTTCTCTTTTTAATATTTATGGTGACCAAATAAATATATAATCTCGAGTTATTGCGTGCTTCAGAAGGTACAATAAGCCGTTGGTCCTGCCTGCATTTATAGTCGTTAATACTGTCAATTTTACCTCATAGAATATGTCATCCTGTCTATTTAGATTTGATTGGTAGATTAGACTTTAATTTAAATTATTCCCAAGATTTTTACCAAAAATCTTATATATTTTAATTTACGAAAATGATTTAATAAAATTAATCCACTCGTAACAAATAATCCATGCACTTGAGAAAAAACACCTTAGGAAAATATTTCAAAAATTAAACGTATAAAATAACAATTCAACTCTCTACAAAAACTTATGAAGAAAAATTATACGGACACTACTATGCTTTTATCACTTTTTTATAATGTAAATAATTATGAAGGTATATATAGTCTGTATTAAGAAAAACTTAATAACAATTAAACTTATGGTTGAATTTCGGTAGCCTGACGATAACTGGTTAATATAATATTGTAAATAGTGTTTAATAAAAATATAAAATTCTATTTCGTTTCTAGTTATGTAGTCGAAATTAAAACCTTTTTTTAATATTAAACATTAATTACAAAGAAAAAAAAAATACAAAACTTCTAGCAATCCAGCAATGGCAACAAAAACAAACACCTTCTAATAACGTTAATGTTATTGTTTATCAAATAATTTCCTAACATATTTTATCACAACGCTTATGAAAACGAGAAAATGCACGTAGATATTTACGCTTTGATAACCCATAGACGCACGTACTAGCTAGGCGAAGGAATCCATGTTATACGGCAATGCTGTTAGTTCAATCTCGCACACCGCCGCTTGTGCATGCCTGGCGCGCGGGGCGGTTCGAATTTCGAACAAAGTTTAGCAGATGCTCTATTTTCGCGCCCTTCTTTCAGAATTAGTTATTCCTTTTTTTAATTTTAATATCTATGTTTTTGACAGTTGTTTTTTATGTGATTTGCGACTTTCATAAAGTTTTTAGTGCTTCATTAAAGTGGAAAATACCTTTGTGGTTAAAGTTTAAATGTTGCGGAACTGAGTTTTTCAGCGAAACAATCGTTTGAGAAGTGAGTGTATTTTTTTACAATTTTGATTGTATGATTAAACTTCGTTCCCGTGCAATATATCACAATAAATCTTGAGTTACTTAAGTAAATATTTTTTACTATGTACAACTTTATGAGAAATTGATAGTAAAAGTTTTGTGTGTATCAGAAGTGATGAATGTTGTATGGACAAGTCAGATATTCTATAATTTTGATATTTGTCAAATTTGATTTTAATATAATAAATTAGTCGATTGTTTGAAAAGACGTACCAATAAGAATCTGTTTTTTTTTTAGAAAATATTCTAAGAAAAATATAATTCAAATAAAATTTAAACATTTTCCGGAAAATTCAAATTAAATAAATCAATAAAAATTTAACTTTTTTTTTCAAATGTAAATGAATGAAACTTTGATTCTAAACTGTCCGAACAGGAAATTTTAACTGCTTATTAAACACGGTAGGTTAATACATAATCAAAGTTTCCATAAGAGTCAAATAATAAAGAGATGTTTTATAAAAATAACGCTTTCTATTTAAGAATTATAGTTTTCTACGGGATGTATTACGTTTGATCAATTTTTCATTCCTAATGGTATACTGATAAATATTCTTATTGAAAAATGCTTAAAAATCCACTTTGTCTTGCTTTTTGACTATTCTAAAGCAGTCACCCAGATTGGGAGAATGTATGTTTTAGGATTAAATAATATTTTTATTGACATCAGATCGAAATAAGTTACAATATCACAACAGCCACCAGCCATTTTAAGTTAAATATCTATTAAAAAGGTAAATTTTTTAAACCATAAATTATTTAGTTTATATTTAAAAGACGGTAATACTTATTACCTACATTTTATAGCACAGTGTCCGCCCCTCACTCTAAATTTTCTGTGCCCGACGGGGAAATTTTGTTTTTATGAACATCTTAATACTATATTCTGGAATGCAATAAAAAAATATATATGTTGTAGCGTTACTGAAAATTACGTTTTTCATGAATAGATGAAAAACTCACCGAATTGAAGCAAAATGTAAACAAATTAGCGTCGTCAAGTTTAAAACCTATTTTATTGTTTAATAATATTCTTAAAATGCTACCTAAGACCAACAGGTTCAAAACATTATATTCAGTAATTTTAAAAAAGGACCGGCCCACAAGTACGTGTTCTTCCAACGTCTGTATAAAGACAAAGAAAGACGACGAATTAACAGACTACACGCAGACCAACCCTTAGCTTCAGCATAAAAAAGAATAGAAAAAGGAATCACGAACTTACATCAAACATTTCGCAAATATTAATAACGCTAGCTAATTAATACTTAGCAATAATGTCATTAAAATTATTGCTTTTTAAATGAAAATATCATTTAACAGCAACACAGATGTGGTGGTTAGTCGGCCCAACTTAATGCCAACAAAAAAGGCTACTGGAGTTGTCAGGCTTAAATGATGTAGTCCGGAACTTTGGCGCCCGTATTCATGTAACGAACTATATACGAGCAGTTCGCAAATTTCGTGTATACATACATTGAAACCATAGATTTTAAAATGACATTACAATATATACACGACCAGTTTCCTATGGCTGAGTTTTTGCCTTGTATAGATTGGAAACACGTATCTCAGCTAATGTCACCACTGTGTAGAATGTAGTCCATCAGAGTAACAACGCTGGTACTTTGATAAGTCATTTGTTTTGATGTTGACAAATGTATCTTGTAATTATTTTGGATAGTCGGTTGTGCTTTGAAACTCATGTGCTAACTTTGGTTCGCAATTGCTTCTATCACCTGAAAAAATTATATAAAATCCGTGATTATCACTCGGAAAAAGCACGCATTACACTTTGAGAATCGTCGGTTCTCTCTAGAATGAATTATGGGGATTTAGTCTGCGGACCTCGTCTATTGCATAGAACTTAGAGGTTGATTCAACGCACAAAACTCGTGTTGTCGATTTTGTTCCAGTATACCACCCCGAACTCTTGTGCCACGGTATATCAATAGTGATTTGATGCTAAATACGGAGTTATGTAGGAGACTACATCTTGCAGTCCTCATGTTCGGCATTATAAAATTAAAAAGCTTAAATTTCTGAAGTTGCACTATACTTATATATGGGTCAGGTGTAGCAAGAACGGTGAGGCCACCTTTACCTATAGTCATAGGAGTTTTGCCTATTCTAGAATAATATACCTCTTCCAATAAGGCAGATTCCAACACGGAACTCATTTAAGATACATTTTAAGAATCTATTATTGGATTCCGAACAGAGAGGTGTTAGGTAAGGTGTCGTAGAGGTGACGGTTGGCCTTTGCTTTACTTAATTTTGATATTGGTTTCTTATGTGCATGATATGTTTTAATTTTAATAGAATCATTTTATTTTCTACATTTTGACATTGGAATTAATCTTTATAAACAATTTTAACGCTAAACAAACATGATTGAATTTATTTTGTTAATTGTTATTATGAAATTTATAATGCAATTCATTTTTTGTGATTTAATTTTTAATATCTTATTTCCTAATCCAATTCACATTGCATACCAAGTTTTATTATTTGATGTAATTTATTTGAAATAGTTTCAAAGTATATAACCATCACAATTTTGAACTTTAACGAAGCAATGAATTTTCTAGGTTAAAGCTGATTGATAATCAGTATTCTGCTATACAAGCAAATATATTACTAAAACTTTTACCTTTTTGCGTCGTTCCGGCACTCATGCATACTTGTGTATGTCTTTTAATTTTATGTATTTTTTCTTCTGCCATATTTTGTCTCTTTGTATTCACTCAACTTTTGTAATTACTGGCATGTGTGTGTGATATATGCAAATAAATTATTATTCATTCATTCATTTATTCAATTACAATTCTTTACTACTGATTGATCAATAAAAACAGAATCATCATCATCGGCCTATTAATGTATCCACTTCTAGGGTACAGGGGTACCTGATGGAATGAAATCGAATAGAGAGAATGGGACATGAGACATCACGCGCGGTGGGAGGATTGGTAGGTGACAGAAACAGCCGATGGTCCCGACCAAATAGCTTGACGTGCTTTCCGAAGCACAAACGAAATCGATATAATAAATTTCTTGTCACCTATCCTACAACCGGCCCTTATGAACGTTGCTTTACTTCCAAATAGCTTTAACTGCTGCGTAATCGAGCGAAAATAGAATAATGTAATTTAAACCAGTTTCAGGTAGGTTTTTAAGAAATTAGCGGTTCAAATGAAATCCTCTGTGTGCTGCATCCAACAGAGTATCCTAAAGCTGATTTTCTCCATTTCCAAACCGTTTATGATTCCACAGCCATTTGAATAAGATAGGTGATAGACTACGTTATTAGATAATCACTTTTTTAAACATTAATCTCTTTAATGAAAACTCTTTAAAATCAATACTTATATTATAAAGAGGTAGAGTTTCTAACATTGTTTATTAAAAAGTAGGCTAATCCGAACACGAAAATACTTTCAGCTATGGAAAGCTACATCATTAATTAACGTGTTCATTTAATATTCGTATAATACATAAAATAATTAAGTATATATATATAGACGAAAATATTTTATGATAACTGAAAACGACAGTAAGATAGTAGCAGTTTTTAAATTGCTCTCACCCGGGATAAAGCTTTTACCCTAGTTTTAAAATGAGTCCCGAGACTTGTTTTATATTTTCAGGTAATGAATTCAACAGTTGTATGTCGTAATAACCACGCTCCATATTGTTTGTTTCCTTTAAAGCTTGTGAATAAAATTGTGTAGGAACCATTTTATACATAACTGACTGTTTTCTCGCACCTTCGTCCTCGTAAATTATAGGCCTATGTCACTTGTGTGTGATGTAGCTTCCAGTATGTGAAATAACTTTAAAATCGCTACAGTACTTTTGGAAAACACTCAATGTCAACAAACAAACAATCAATTTTTTCCTCTTTATAATATTAGTGTAGATAAATATTATAGTAGCTCGGTGGCGTTGTGGATAAGCGCCGCGGCCCGCGATCATAGTCGTTAAGCAACTTTCGCAAGGGTCGGTCACAGGATGGGTGACCAAAAAATTATTATCTTGAGCTACTCCGTGCTTCAGAAGGCACATTAAGCCGTTGGTCCCGGCTGCATTTGCAGTCGTTAATACCCTCCAATCCGCATTGGGCCAGCGTGTAGGGTCATGGCCCATCCTCCTTAACCATCCATAAGGAAGGCCTGAGCCCCTGCAGTGGGGACGTAAAAAGGGCTGGTGATGTAGATAAATATTAACATGTATAGTTTAAAGAAATAATTATTGTTAATCCAGCGATTACTTTAGTAAGTTACGCAGTCTTTGTAATAACTATGGAATATGTGACTTGTACCACTATACAAATAAGAAAAATAACAATTTCTTGGATGTTCTCTGTAAATCATCAGTTCAATTCAAAACAAGTATGAAAGTGTGTATTTTTTAAAAGAAGCGAATAATAATATTTGCACCTCAAATTGATTCCAAATATCGCACACCTAGATCTAAACTGAAACAACTCAAAAATTTGAGCGAGTATTGACTTAGTGCAATATTCAAATACTCGGTGATCATACGCATCTATCCAACATAACAGATTCAATAAAGGTTCGGGGATGAGCCACTAGATAACTTTAGCTTTTTTTTGTTGAATAATCAGTGGTCGGGCTCCTGCCACGTAAACAAATGTATTGTCAAACCTCCATATTAGTTTTTTGAGTTGTCTTAGTTTAGATCTAGGTGTGCGATATATGTACGAGTACATTGGAGAAATTTTTTATCATTTCGTTGGTTTCGCCTTTTTTTTCTCTTTGTAATATTACATTAAAACTAAAAGTGTTAGTGAAAATGCGAAGATATTAGATTAGTTAGTTAGTGTGAAAATGCGATTGGATTGGATTATGTTTTATTTTATTTTTTACATCTAGCTTGTAAGCAAAATTATGTTATGCTATAAGCTGTGGAAACATATTATTTGTGTATGTACTGAAC